GGGACAGGCGGCTTCAGGCCTTGTCCCGTGGGCTTGGCGGGCCTTAGGCCTGCGGCTTTATGGGCCAGATGTCCTAGGGTCTGTAAACCCTTCATGTTCACGTAGCTAAGGGAGCCCCCCAAATTGTTGGGGGGCCCCGGAGGACCGCCGCTTGAAATTGCTTCGTAAAACTCGGGGCTCTCTAAATTTGAGGGCAATTCAGAGCTTTTCGAGTGTTCACAAAGATGCACATATATCCCCGAAGCTGGTGACTCCATACAGCTTTGTGAGTGATGAAACGTCCATCCATTCCTTGTTGAGAATTAAGACAGAGCTCGTGAAAACAGACGCCAGTTTGTAAGTGATTTAATGAGCATGTCAGCGCTGTAGCCAAGCCAGAGACTTGAATTCAAAAACTTGGAGAGTATTAAGTCTTCCTCTGTGGCAAGAAGTGAATGGTTAAAAGGTGGCCGGGTCAGATTCGGGATTCTTTGCTCTCTGTTCCCCTGTTGAAGTGTGATGTGCTCTTCTAGGCCCAGTTACTAAACCACAAGAAACAGTCCCCCTCCCTACAACCCGAGTTCAACATCGCATCTGTGCTTTGATGGAAAAAGCCCTCTACCTATCCGCTTCCATTACATTTTGCTACCTGACGTGATCTCATTTGTCATTTCTAAGTCNCATACCTATCCGCTTCTGCTTTTCCATTACATTTTGCTACCTGACGTGATCTCATTTGTCATTTCTAAGTCTCTGCGGGTCAGGAACTTGGCAGTGGCCTGNCTCTGCGGGTCAGGAACTTGGCAGCGGCCTGGCTGGGAGCTTCTCAGGCAGGTGCAGTCATCTGAAGGCTTGATTGTAGCTACAGCACCCACCTGTAAGATGCCTCACCTGCACAGCTGTCCGCAGGAGTCCTCGGTGTCTCCTCCGAGGGTCTCTGATGGGCTTGCTTGGCTGTTGTCCTGACTTGCTGCTGACTTCCCCGAGGGTGTATGATTTTAGAGAGAGGGCCAGGAGAAAGTTGCGATTTCCTTTATCACCTAGTCTCTGACATGACACACCCACACCTTCCCTACGTCCATTCACTAGGATCTCGCCGTTCAGTACAGCCCATAAGAGAGTGGGGGGGGGGCTCAAGCTTTACCCCTGGGGGGAGGAGTGTCAAATACTTTATGGATATAAATAAAACCACCATAATCTTCATTACTCTGATTGATCCATTATGGACCTCTCGTTTCTCTTTAGGTGGTGTGTAGCGGTGCCCATTTGGGTCAAATATAATCTTTAGGGGGAATTATGTTTATCATTCCCCAGAGAGCCGAGGAAGCCTTGGGGAGTGACATTGAGGACATTGAGAGGCCTCGCTGATGTGTCCGCAAGGCCGAGCCAGGTTCTGTTTATATGGGACTAGCCTCTGAGTCTTTAGATGGTTCTCTTAGTTATCCGTCCTTGCATCCAATTCTGAGCAGAATCACATGCATTGTGCCTCTACAGTGTCTATAAAGAGTCGCCTCGCCTTTGCAAGAAATCCAGCCTTGGTGAGAACTCTTGATATTTTCAACTAGGCTTATACCAAGAAACAAATTAATCAGCTTTTATAAACCTCTCCCTCCCAGTTGACTGAAACTCTCCCAATTTTTAAGTCCTGGTTGAATGTGCATCCTCTAGGCAACCTTTCAGATACAGTCAGAATGAATCTCTTACCTTCTGAAGTTGGTTCTTGCACAGATTTTTCCAAACCTACCTAGGGTTAGAGCTAATTGGCACATACTGGTCTCCTACTAGACTGGACTCTCACCCCTTGAAGATGGAAGAGTGGGTGTCCTCATCTTTCTACTTCCCAGGGCAGCCAGGAGACGGCACATAATAGCTGCCCAACAAATTTCTGTTGAATTATGATTATTAACTGGAGATTGAAAAAATGAGACCTTTCTGTCTCCACATCCCTTTTCTCGTATCTTTAATGTCATACTTATGAACTGAGATGCTCAGAGAAGAGGTGGGAACTGAGTGGATGCTTTAAGAAGCGGGGGCCCCAGGCAAGTAGGAAGGCCAATTAAGGAAATTCTAAGCTAGAGCATCACAGGGAAATTCCAAGCAAGAACAACACAGGAAAACATATAATGTCCTTGAGGCATGGTGATGCACGCAGAGGTGTCAGGCAGGGGAGCAGTGCGAGATGACGTTGGAAAGGTTCCCGGGGGCCACACTGTGCAGAACACAGGAAAAGGAAGAGTAGGGTTCATTTTCCTGGGATCATAGGCAGCCAGGGAAACTTTTGAGCAGGTGTAGAGGCCTCAAGCCCCCAAATTTATAATACTTATTTATTAAACCTGAAATCCAGAACTTCATTCAGACTAGGAATTCCCTTGGCAGTTAGGATTCTTCACTAACAAATCGATGGATCGCAGTTGCTCGTGGTAGGTGGGTGTAGTGCCTTAAACAGTGCGGAGCTCACAATACTTTGAAGAGTCCTTGGTTCAGAATGTCTCTGTTTTCACTAATAATAATCCCAGATACTTATTTAGTGCTTCCATGTACCAGGCAGCATTCAGAGTGTTTTGAAATACAGACTCTTTTAATCCTCACAACAGCCCTCTGCAGCCAGTACTATTCTTATCTTCCTTTTATAAA